ATTTTCCTACGCATCTCATATGATTGGAAAACCTTTCATCTACTCAAATAAATTTTTAGATGTCTTCCTAAACATCGCGGTCATGTAAAAAATTCAAAAATAGAAGTGTATGATCAATTTTTCGACTCACTGTATGGATGCCACTGATCACAGCTTGAACTAAAAATTCATAACTTAGTTAAAACTGGATCAATGGGTAGAAAAACATCGCGATATATGTAAATTGATATGTTCTACTAAATGGGTAATTTGAAAATCGAAAATCCATTTGTAAACGTTTCGTTTTCGTTTTGGTCTCCAAAGGTCTCCCACATTTGTACCTCTCAGAAACGCACCCTCCGCGTGATTTAAAATTTTCTTTTATCGATGCAGAATTATTACAACTGTACAAAACAATAGAGTTTGTTTTTTTGGTCAAGATATACGAGCGGCTGCTGGATCCAAAATACTGAAAAAAAGTATGTTTGAATAAAACTGATTTTTTCAGTTTTTGCCTTGTAGCCGCCCACGGTGCTTGTTTTATTACCTTCTCACAGCGATTTTGTAGAGCAAGCATTACTCTTTCAAATGAGATGTGAGCGGACCCTAACAGTCAAGCCATTTTGTGATATTAGGCAAATGTTAATATCATGGAAAAAATGATGCTTTTTATGATTTCTGATGATGACCAAAAGATTAGGTCCACCTAATTCTCGACAGGAGCTATAGCAGGACGAGATATTTTGGATTTCTTGTTTCTTTTGTATGCTCTCGCGAACTAGATCAATAAGAGCGAAAAAGAAATGTCTCCGGCTGACATGGTCGGCAATCTCATGGACCGTCTCTTAATGCTCATTCTTAGTTTAAGATAAGTTAAATTGCATATCACTGCTATTATTTCTATTTAGTTGCTCAAAAGCTGATTGATTCCACGTTAGAAAAAGTACTTCCTCCACCTAAAGATAGTGTTACTGTATTTCAACATTTTGATAAAAGTCACTCGGAACCATGTTTAGTTCCACAATGTGCTCCTGATCAAAATTTATCTGCTGTACGACAAAAACTTGAAGTTGTTTTCTTAGAGAGTGATGCCAATGGTGATGGTTTTATGACATTACAAGAATTTGAATTTTTTTTATCAAAATTGAATATAAAAATGAGCCATCAAGACGTGAGCACGTTATTTGAAGAAATTAATTGAAAACATTCTCATAGATTAACATTTCAAGAATTTTATCAATATTTTGAAGATATGATACAAGGAAGAAAAGCAAAACATGCACAAGCACAATTTAGATTTATTAGCTTTCTTTAATTTTATTAGCTAATTGCATTTTTGAAAGCTGATAAGGAAGGTAAATGTGAAGTGGGTGGTATTACACAATTTATTAATAAACGTTGGGAAAAATTTGATAATTTAAAACGTGATGGTAAAACGGGTAAATTAGTCATGGTCGGTGGTGTAGAAGCCAAAAATGTTTTACCAGGAGAGTATAGCCTCGTTGATCTTATCACATGGTCGGATATTGAACCACAAATTAAACCAAAATATGCTAAAGCCTCAAATGTTCGTTGGACATCCAGCGCCTACCCTAAATCTACATCAGGTAGTCTTTTATTTCCAAAGGATTTTGACCCACATTTACCAATTGAAATTGGGACAAATGACAAATTAGCCTACTATGGATGTTGTCTGGCTAATGAGAGTCAAATGAAAGTATCACTGTTACATCGTTGTGGCCTTCAAGATTTTACCTATAATGATAATTATTATTCCGACTATGTTAAGGGAAGAGAAGGCCTGGAAATGCATGAATTTGCCCATCTAGATTGTCCGTTTCAAGAAGATAGCGGCTTTTTTATATTGGGAAAGTTTTCTGATAATAGGAACAAGGAACTACATTTAACAGCATTTAAAATTCCGACAAGACATACTCTTTATGTGCCACCGTTAACAATACATTCAAATGATTATTTGAAAGGTACGTGGCGTACAATGTTATCGGATGCCACTCAGATTAATCATGTTCTTCTCGAACTAGCAAGATATGATGGAGAAACAGACAAATTTTCATTCGATTTTACGAACTAACACTTGATCCAATGAGATCTATTGAATTAAGTTTGGTCGATTATGTCAGTTCTTTACTCTGTTTGTATTTTTTTATTAAAATATATTCAGTCAAGAAAATAATGATGCGTTCTTTTTTTTGTTGCGAGTCTCAAATTTTTCTGTCGTCACATAACAAGAGTCTTAAAATTTTAATTTTTTTGAGAAAGTATAGTGATTTTCTGTTTCGTGAGCAGTTAATTTGAAGTTTTTTCACTTACCATCATATATTTATATCATCATTAATGAATTATTTAACTAATCTGCTGTTTTTCTACCCTATGTTCTGTCGAAAAAGAGTATATTGACTTTGGAACGCGTGACGGCAGAGCATTGACAGTAGAGCGTGAGCATCATAGAGACCTACAATGCTTTACACAACATTAGGACGCAACTTCTGTTCATTTGACTACTGAAGGATAAGCGTGGTGGTGGTAAATGCGACTGTGTTGGTGTCGTTGCACTGTACCGTTGGTGCCCAGACCTTGTACGCCCTAGCGTCTGATAATCAACTGATCAATTTTTGTCAGAATTATCGATTTTTAGATTTATACATAGTTAGATAGTCCTGAGTGTCTACTTCAGAATCTGTATCATTTTCTGCTACAGAAGTAGTTCTCCACGGTTTTTGAAGTTTTCTGGAAACTCGCAAGAATAAAATATTCGAATATCAGTGTTTTTCACGATACTAATGCAATTTATTTTTTCTGTAGTATTCAAGGATACGCATTCTCTTAAAGTCCAAGCGTGAATGTTTTCTTCACAAACGGCAAACGTTACCTTATTGGTAAGATTCATCTTAGAACCATAAGACATCAACCTCTCTCACCTTTATTTTGCGACCACACTTTGAATCATAAGGGACAGGAAACTTCATTCGAGATGAAAATTTCTTCCACTAAAGTTATCACAGCTCACTATTAACCTTTTAGAAATAGAGTGAAGAAGATATCAACATCGCGACAGAAATACGCTAGAAGGATTTAAACGACAGACTAGACCTTCAAAATTGCTGTGTATCGACTTAAATGCACCATGTTCTAGAAGAAAAAACCGAGTAAAACAAGATGCATAATGTCTAGATTTAATGTTTTTAGCAACTCTATGCTTCCCTTTGACTTTAGTCAGTTAGCAGGGCTTGTCTTCTTGGCGCACGACTCAAACTGTTTTTCTCTCTGAGTGAACGTTATTTCAGGCTTTTCAATAATGGTTTAGGCCATATTAAGTTTTTATTGAAGTCAGAAACTTTTTTTCTTTTTTCTATGTACCAACTTTTGACAAAAACTTTGTAAGGGAATTAACTGTACTTTCAAAAAAAACAAAAAAAGTTTCTGAGTTCAACAGAAACTTAATATAGCCTAAACTATTATTGAAAAGTCCGAAATACTATTCACTCAGGGAGAAAAACAGATTGAGTCGTGTACTGAAGAAGACAAGTCCTGCTAACTAGCTAGAATCAAACATCTGAGAAACGAAAATGGAATAACGTGAGAATGTAGTATTCGAGATGGGAGTCGCGGTGCTCCAGTAGCGATTTATACGCGATCGCAACATGACTTCGCGAGAACTAGAAAGTCATGGCGTGATTTCATGAGAAAAGCAGGATCGGGACATGACATCCGCGACTTCTATAGGACGATAACACAAGAATCGCGATCGCGGCATCACAGTCGCGAATTCAGCGCGAGCATTCTTAGACCCCGATAGTACCGCAATCATAAAATAAGACTCTTATTTCGTGATCATAATCGTGATCGCGTTAGGCGTACTTGCTGAGACTTTTTATCGCGACTCGCGGCGCGACAGAAGCAAGAAAATTGACATGGGTATTATATGTTTTTATCAAAAAATAGCAACAAAGACCAACAAAAAAATAGTATGTACAGAAATACTAGAATAAACATGTCATTTGATCACACGTAGGTCGAAAAAATATCTGACTGTCGTATAAAAAAGAAATTCTCGGAAATTAACCATTCTCTCCCTATAGGCAGGGGGCCGAATAGGAAGTGAACTTGGGGGGGGGGGGGTGTAAGAAAAACTTCTGGGGGGGGCTGTGGTGTAAGAACAATTTTTTTCAGTGCATGACCAAAACAGAAAAATAAATTTTTGTGTTCCGCTGGGAGGAAACGGAAACCATTTATTTTCGGATTGGAAGTGTACAACCCCCTATACCTCCCAAAATGCAGACCTCTGCCTATAGGAGACCTAAATTTGTTGCCTTTTTCAAACTGCTGTCGACCATCAATTTTGCATCAGTAACCGATAGATTAGTATGATTTTTTAATGCTTCAATATCTTTCCAGACACTTTCAACAGATTCCTAGAAGTCAGGCAAAGATATGTGTAGAAATTATTTCACACATATCTTTCATTTTTATGACAATTCAGCCATTTTAGTGAAACATGCTCAGATGAAGCAAACGTGTGAAGATTTTCTTTGTCATCATGCACTTGTTGCAGTTGTAAACTCTTCCAATTCAGTTGCACACTTTTGAGCAAAGTAAATAAACAAAAAATAAAAAAGATGATACCGAAACCAAATCAGGACTGACAGAAACTATTAGTTAATGGAAATTAAGACCTTACAGCTCCTAGCAGTATCGATAGCCTTCTAAAGTAGCGTTAGATGTGGCTCATGTCTCTATGACGAAGAGCACTAGAGAGTGCACTGAAGATACTTGAATAACATGTTTTGGAAATTGCGCTGATTGTGCCACATGTATACCAAAAGTTTGATCACATACGCCTTGTTTTATTTTATACAACAACATTAATTGTTGTTCGTCAGCGAATACATCAACATGTAAATTTTCAATTATTTCAGGCATTTCTTGTTCGGTTAATGTCAGTTCATGAAAATGTGTAGCAAATAAACAGTAACATCCCATGTCGAGCTTTTCTTTAAAATACCGCCGGTTACCGGCGGTTCAATAAAATGCCATCGGTATACCGCGCGGTTAACCGACGGTAAGTTTTTAGATCGCGGTCTAAGAAAATACCGTACGGAAACCGTTTTTATCCATTCACCATTGTATTTTGCACCCATGAAGATATAGAAGAAACACAGAAAAATTCGAGAAACTTGATTTCTTCTTCAGATTAAACTTTTCTTTTAGATCATATAGACTCGCGGAAGTTTGAACTTCGACTTGAGTCAAATTTCTCTCAATCGGGAGCCTGTCTGAGCTTACAAGTGCTTAACAATAAAAAAAGAAAGTTGAAAATTAGTTTCGAACTCCTGTTCTGCGTGTTCATAATGCCAAAATACCAGACGGTACCGCTGGTTATACCGGCAGTATACAGTGGCATACCGCGTGGTTACCGCCGGTATACCGGACGGTATTTTCGTTTACTATGGCGGTATACCTCCCGGTAACCGTCGGTATTTTGCCGGTATTAAGCACATAGGATTGAATTTGCTTACAGATGTAATCAGCAAGGGCCCAAGCAAGACCAAATCCATCATACGTCGATGTTCCACGACCTAATTCATTGATAATTAATAACGATTTTTTTGTAGCTATATCTAATATTGTTGACATCTCTAACATTTCAGACGTGAATGTAGAAACACCACGAGACAAATCATCCTAAAGTAATTAAACATAGCAGAAAGTAGTACGGATGAGAAAACACTGATTTACAAATAACCTACATTTGAACCGATACGAGCGAGAATACAATCAACAATTGAAATTTCAGCTGAACTACAAGGAACGTAACAACCAATTTGAGCCATTAACATGATTGCACCAACCTGCGCAAGAAACATACAACAATTTTTACCTTCGAAAGAAAAATTTTGTTAGATGGAGAGATTGAAATATATTTCACTTTCTCGATAATTTTATTCCTATAGTTTCGCGGTGAGAGTATCTTATCCGTCTACTAATTTTCTCATCGTTGGAAAAAAATGGGACTTACTTGACGGATATATGACGATTTCCTAAAATAAACAAAAAATATGCTCAACAAGACGTAACTGAATGATCCACTGCAGAGTTAAAGATTCTCATAAGAAGTTGTTTCGAGAAAAAAAAGACTATGTAACTGTTTCGAAGTCAAAGTTGATTAGAGAAATGCAAACTGACTAGTGTGTTGTCACAAAGATTATTTCTATAAAAAGAAGTATACCTTACCCTCCCATATTCGGCCCTAAAACCAGAATAAAATCATTAGTTAAACATGTGAAGTTTTTCAAACGAACGAACTCTTTTACATACCTATAATAATTAGAATACGTTGTTTCTCTCAATCTAATGCGACATTATTGGATATAAATTGCATATTTTCTTGTAATTCTACACAGGGATGTCTTGAATCTTCTAACTGGATTTTATTTACTTCACTAAATTTTGGTCGACCATGTTGATATAGAGCCGATATTTGTGCTAATGATATGAAACAATCTAATTCTGATAATATTTCCAATAATGATCGCAATGAATCCATATAAGTCAAACATATTTGAAGAACTTAATCAATCGAAGCTTTTTGAGTTTCATCATATTAAATACGAGACGTCATATAACGTTCATTCAAATCTTCTACAATATGAAAAGAAAATTCCAAATGCAGAAAACGCGAAAGTACTTACTATATGTTATAGGATTA